ATGAATCATGGGCTTTTAAGTCTTGTTCAGTCACTCCACCAACCCGTCAGTCTGAGGGTGGTAGACACTGGTCCAAACAGATTTAATGCCCAATAATTCGTACAGCTCCTTTAGTGTGCGAGACATGAACCATGTACCCTGGTCAGTCAGTATATCTTTCAGGATGAAGAATGGGAGATGACCTGAAACAGTGCTTGTGCAACACTCTTTGCAGAAATAGTGCGCAGCCTCACTGCTTTGGGATATCAGATTACGTGATCCACCAGAACTAATACAAAGCGATATCTTTGCGAGCACTCTGGTAAAATGGCCTTAAGAGGTCGACACCAAAGACTTTAAATGGGACCTACATTAATGATAATAGGCACAAAGAAGCTTTTGCAATCACAGGCTGGTTAACCAGCTGGTAGCGGAGTGGGCCTACTTGTAGACCCACTCTATGAACGGTTTGAGCACGATGTGGTTGAGCAGCCGGGCCTCACCCTACGCAGCTGCCAACTGTGCAGTTTTCCAGCTCCCCTGCTCTGCCCTTCAGCCAGTTTATTTTAAGCTTTAATTCAACCAGATTATTCTTTTCCTCAGTAGGAAAATAGCTCCAGTGAGCTAAACTGCACACACAAGTTCACACAATGGTGCTAACTGTTAGACCACGTCACCTTTTGTTTTTTAACCCTCCACATGCACACACAGTTAGATGCATAGAGCAACCTTCAGTTTCAGGATCTCACTTCCATAGGCAACACTTCAACTTTTAGGCTGACAAATGACAGCTACCATTTTGTTGGCGTACGTGGTCATCAGACAAAAAGAATTCTCCCACGACACTCAAACTATTGTCATGTCTCACGCAACATTTTTATCGCTGAATGTAACAACTAACAAAACAACTGATGAGATTAGTAAATAATGATATTATAAACTGGATTAATAGAAAGAGCAGATTTCATAAGCACAAAGGTCACCATGCTAAAAGAAGTACATATATGCACACTTTGCTTCACATACATTTTTGCAGTCTTGAAGGCATATAACAAATTTTCACACATACCAAACAAGGTGGAGAAACAACTCATTTCCATTTATAGTAAAAGGAACGTCCTTTTGTCAGCAGCAGGATGATATGTACAGAATGACGAAACAGGAAGGAAGCGTTTGAGCATATGCAGATGTAGTTTCAACTACATAAGGGGAAAAAACGTTAAAAAACAGGGGAAAAAAATTATTAATTAATTACTTATTAATTAATTTTACTGTAAATGATACCTGTATGTGTTAATAATGTAAATGATTTTCTACATACTGCTCCACAGGTCACTCAAAATAAAATATTAAAGCAGATAAATCAAAACATGCTTCAATTCTGAGCTCATGTCTTATTTTGACTTTTTTTGTTTCACTGACAGTAGCCTGAAAAGCAGACAATAAATACATAAATTAAAAAATAAATAAATAAATGCTCTTATGATTAACACAGTATAAAGAATAAAAGTATCCCAATTAGATGAATATTATATATTTTTTATATATGGTTTATAGATAGAAAAAATTAAGGTTTTAGGAAGAGAATCAAGCTCACTTCTTATGGAGAATAAAAAGAAGAAACTACGTGGTTCAAATAACCAACATAAATGCCATAAAAATATTTTTTAAAGGATACCCAGGACCAGAATGACCCCCCCACCCCCCCTACCTTTCGAGTTTGAAGCCGAAAAAATTAGATGAAATATTCCTTGAAGACCCTGACAAGAGAATAGATGGCTCCCGTGCAGACCTCTGAATATGTGTGACGGCTTGATGAGAAGAACTAGAACTTGTCAGAAAGAATCGGACCCACACTGCGTAAACAACCGCAGCCCTTGCTGTCTGAAAGGCAGAGCCGCAGACTGCGCAAGAGGGGCGTCTGCAGCTTCTTGATGTAAATCTGGACCCGATCCAAAGTGCATTAATCCTCCGCAGCATTTAGGTCTACATTACAGAATACAAAACGTTAGTCTTGTGTCTTCTGCTTGTTATTTAGCTTCACTTCCTTTTGAGTTATATTACGTCGCATCAGCTTTGTACCCACTGCTACCTTTCGCCTCATTATCTTCAAAGCCTAAATTGTCTGACAAAGAATTAGGGGAGCCTTGTTCTTTGTAATATCGCCCCTCACTGAAGCCTGTCCCGTGAGGATTTTATACTGAGAAGACTGAAATTTGGCTCACATTAAACATTACTATGTGGTGCAACTTGGTCCCCCAATAGCAAACAAATCAGGACCTACTTACTGTAGCTTGCGGTGGCAGATATCATGTAGTCCAGGGCTGGAAAAGTACAAAAACCTAGCCTAGCACCCAGTCTATCTAAGGTGGAGCTGTGGCTCTATATGCTCATTCATGAATTGAAAAGGAAGCTCATAAATAATTAAAAACAAAAAGCTTTACAAGAATGCTTCATTTAACAGACACACTGTTCTGCATTTGGATAGACTGTTGTGTTGTGACATTGTTTGTGTTTCTCTGTTCTCTCAACTGTGTAATACTTCCTCAATTCAAAGTAAAACATAACCAGTGGGTCACATCAGGGGGACAGCAATCAAAACTTTTATTCAGTTCCTCAAATTTTTATGTTTTTTTACTGTTTAAAAAGAGTTTGGTGGTTTTTCTGAGTAAAAGCCTCTACACACAAGAAACATAAAATCTGTGCAAATATATCGCCCACTAAAAATATTTACTGACTCACCTATTCTTGATGCAGCCCCTAACACCAAACACGAAATTACGTAGGAGGAATTTGCAACGTTAATTTTTTGAGGTTAAGCGCTATTTTTCCAGTGTTTCGGTTGCATATGAACACATCTAACCAATCACATCATTGTCTGGTGGTGACGCAGTCAAAGTGTTGAACACGGAGTTACATTTGAATGTTGTTGTGTCACAATCGGCTCTTGAAATTATTTCTCTGCCTCCTCAAGTATGGTCTCATTTCTCTGCTAACAAGAGTTCAACTGGCCCCACTGACATCCAGAAATATGTGCAAAAGCAATCGCGATAAAGCTTCAGCTCCTGGATCCGAACATGCATGCGGCTCCTTTCTCTCGAGAATGAGAGGAACAAAGAATTTCTGTTTGTTCCTTTTTTGGTTTAGTAAAATCAGGACTAGCTCATCATTGCTTGATGTCAACTCCTTTTTTTCACAGTGTGTTATTTGAGGATGAATTTTCTGCAAACACGTTCAGTGTGTATTTAGGTTACACAGCATGTTTGGATCCGTAAAATTCGGAATTACGTGTCGTTTTTACGAAACACTTTTGGTGTGTAAAGGCCTTAGCAGGACAAAAACAGCTGCTTAGTGAATTCTGAAATTAGCTGCATTATGCTTACATTATTAGAAAACTACTTAAATCAAGCTGTCATATCATTGCCATTTTATAATCAGTTACAAAGTTTTCCTTTTTGATGACTATGCCTGAAGAAACAAAGAGGAAAAAATTGAACTGCTTTCACTTCAACAAACTGAGTCTGCTTTATGTCCCTTTGTCTCCGCGAGGCAAATCTGCAGACAGTCAGCAAGAATACATCTGTGGCAGAAAATGAAAACAAAAAAGGATCCATGGACCACAAACCTACTGTGCTTCACCAATATTTCTGGTAACTAACAACTGCAGCCAGCAGACAGTTGCAAAAAGGAGAATATATGTGCCGACTGTGATTCGTTCTTGTAATACAGGCTTGAGAAATAAAGTTTACATTTTGGCATCATCATGAAGCAACACTGCTGACTTTCTTTGCTCTGCTGCCATGGTTTCTGGCTGCAAAATAAAGACAACTGAAGTAGAAGTGCATTGTGGGTAAAATATAAAGGCTCCTATCCCCCTAAATACTCTGATGGCTGCTCAGAAACAATCAATTTAACACAAGGATCTTGCTGCGATTCCTAACCTGCCAATGATGTGCTTCCAAGGCCCTAATATGACCTAAAATAGAGTATTATATAACATACTATATATTAATATTAGTAATTTATTATTTCCATAACAGTAGTATACTATTTCACTTTGATTTTTATCATAATTAGTTATGATGATGGTGCAGGATGAAGATGTTCATATCTGACTGAAACACAAACAACAAACCAAAAACATCCCCTGAAGCTCACACTGAGGCATGCTTGTAAGCCAATCAAGTGACAGCAGCTAAATCCATTTCGTCATATAGACATGATCAAAACAACCTGCTGACGTTCAAACTGAGCATTAGAATGGGGAGAAAAGGTGATTTATGTTAATTTTATGAACATGGCATGGTTGTTGCCAGGCAGAAACTGACAATCTACTATCATTTTCCAACACAAACATCTCTTGGGTTTTAAGAGAGCAAATATTCAATGAGTGGCAACAGTAACTCAAATGACCAACCACGATTACAACCAAGGGAATGCAGAAGAGTATGTCCAAATGCAAATGCAGAATCTTGATGCTGATGGGATGCAGCAGCAGACGATAAAGCCAGGTGACACTCCTGTCAGCTAAGAACGGGAAACTGAGAGAACAGTTCACACAGGTTCAGTAAAACTAAACAACAGATGACTGGAAAAACAAT